GTCGCAGGTTCTATGGAGTTCAGTCGGAGAAAAGAGATCAGTTGAGGTAAGGTGGAAGATCTCTCTCTCTCTCTCTCTCTCTAGACCAAAGGAATCAGATGGGGGTCTCATGTTGACTGTAGCAAAGGACCAAAGGAATCGGATGGGGGTCTTGTGTTGGCTGCGAAAAAGGGGAGAACTTTCTGATGAGGTTCGAACAGGGAAGGGATTGAGAAGGACTGCGGCTCGGTTGGCTTGCAATAATTTGGTCGGAAGCAGGTCGACTATAGTAGGGATTTGGAGGGGTTCGGAGCTGTCGAACCTAGCATAGGAAGAAGAAGCATGGATGAGGGTCGGCTGAGAGGAGAAGGAAGATCAAAGGGGTTCGGCGTAGAAGGAGGTGGGTCTTCGGAAGGCTACAAATAAGTGGAGAGGAGATTGGGGTTGGTTTGCATGTGTAGAATAAGCAAGGGAGAGAATCGAACAAGAGCTCCAAATTCTCGTTTTAACGACGTGAAGAGAGCGGGTGCGTACGAGGCATGGGCTTGCTAACAGCGGCGTCGTTTGCAGATTGGGGATGCGACTGTAGCAAATGATGAGATTTTCTTGTTTTTTTTTTTCTCTTTTTTCTTTTTTATTCATAACAGAGGTCAACATCCTTAAATCAACTGAGTAGTAAAGATTAAAATAGTTTAGAATAAGATAATATTAATTTGCTTGCTAACACCATTACTCAATCTTGATGGTTTAAAATGAGGGGAAAAATCTTATCCATGATATTCTAAATAAAATTTCATTTTTTTTAAGAAAGATGAAATTAAACCAAACAAATAACATTTAAAAGATGGCATTGGTAGCTAAATAACATAGTCACCTAGATAAAAATATTATCTAAATGAACACATTGAATAAAATAGATCACAAGACTAATTTGACTACGTTAGCATGCTTACGAGAATTAAAATAACTCAGTTCTTAACTCAACAAGCTTCAAGAAAAAATCACAAAATAAGCCATCATAGACTACAACTTTATGAAAAAGGACAATGGAGACAGCACTTTGGATGTTTAAAGTGTAAACCCCAATAATTTCTACATCTTCAAGAATAAGGAAATAATAAACTATGACATAATTACCTTCGCTCCCTTTGACCTCTCTTTTCCACCAAGTTCTAATCATATTTGGACAGAAGTTGCTAAAAACAATATGTTGATCCCACTTACAAAGGCCCTATGGAAATACTTTTGAACCCTACAAGCCTAGATCACATGTAACAAAATCCATTGAGATCCGTGTCAATTAGAGGTTAAAGTACAGGTGTGTATGTGTGTGTGTGTGTGTTTGTTTTTTTGTTGGGGGTTTTGGGGGGGGGGGGGGGTTGAGAGGGGTTTTTATTGATCAACAAACAATATCAATAGTATTCTACCATGATTTTGATGAGAGCTTGCTATAATACTAGGATTTGGGAGTAAAACGATTTGGATTTGGCATTTATATTGTAACAAGTTATCATGTAACCTTGTTATCATTTTAATGTTCAAAGCAACCATGATATTTTAGTAGGGTTGTCAAAATCGGGTCAAGGGACGGGTTCAGGCCCAATCAGAAACTATTCGACCCGACACGCTTCATATATGTTTTAATAAATTTTTTTATTTAATTCGATTTATTTAAATCTAAATCGAATTAAGGTAAGATTTACTTCAATCAAATTGAAATAAATCAAGCTTAATTTAATTTGGGCAATAATGTTTGTTATTTTTTAGAAATATCATTTACGTATTTCATAACAATCTTTTAAAACCCTCCTAAATTAATTAAAAATGAGTCAAACTGGATTGATTTCGAGTTTATGGGTCAACCCAAATATGACTTGATTTTACAAACGGGTCGGAATCCCTAACCCGAACCCGACCCAATTCGGGTTGACCCAAATCCGAAATTTTTGGGTCGGATCAAATATTGACAACCCTATATTTTAGTAGAAATCGAGTGCAAACCATAATAAAAATCAGGGTTTTGGTGCAACCTAGTATTCTACCTAGGCTTTAAGTGACCTTACTATTCTACCCAAGTTGGAAGAAACCATGTTATTCAACCAGGATGTGACCCTAATATTTTATCACAATTATGTAGATCAACCTAAATGATCGTCACTGAATAATTAAAAAAAAAAAGAAAATTAAATAAGATCCTACTCATGGGATTGTATGTAGATTCCATGCGCATATGCAAAAAGGTTGAGAATACCAATAGTTGCTAACCAATAAAAAGATTGTATGTGGTCAGCCATGATCACTTAAAGGGTTGATGATCAACAAAACAATAACAATAGTATTCTACCATGATTTTGATGAGAGCTTGCTATAATAATAGGATTTGGAAGTAAAATAATTATCTACCAAGGTTTGGATGTGACACTTGTATTGTAACCAGTTATCACGTAACCTTGTTATTCTTTTAATGTTCAAAGCAACCCTGATATTTTGGTAGAAATTGAGTGCAAACAATAATAAAAATTAGGGTTTTGGTGCAACCTAGTATTCTACGACCTTACTATTCTACCCAAGTTCGAAGAAATCATATTATTCAACCAGATTTGGTGTTACCCCAATATTTTATCACAATTATGTAGATCAACCTAAATGATCCTCATTGAATACAAGAACAACAACAAGTCTTTATGCCACTACTTGGGGTCATTACATGGAGTCGGCTACATGAATCCTTTTCTCCATTGTGTCCTATTAAGAATCAAATTATCATTTAAATCTAAAAAAAGAAAAGTAATTTCTAATATTTTCTAACCAAGTCTTTTTATGTCTAACTCTTACTTTCTTAATGTAAGCCAAATCTAATACATCTAATTTCCTAACCGGGTCATCGGAGTGCCGCCATTTTATGTGACCAAACCATCTAAGGAGACTCTTTCTAATTTTATCTTCCACTGGAGTAACCTTTTCATGTATATGCTCATTTCGTAAGATCCTACTCATGGGATTGTATACTGAATACTGATTGCATGCACCTACGTAAAAAAGTTGAGAAAAAAAAACATTTACTAACCAATAAAAAGACTTAAGGACAATTATTAGATTATTATTGTGTCCCAACTAAGCATTTAATTGTTACGTACCCTTGCATGATGAAACTTAATATAGCAGTTAAAACTAGGGAAACTTTTTTTTGTTTAGGGGACGGCGGTGTAATTGGTCCGTCATTATCACCTAAAGAATATATTGGTTAACCAACAATAGAAATAGTATTCTACCAAGATTTTGATGCATGATTGTTATTCCATCAAGATTTAGAAGCAATTCAAGTATCTACCAAGGTTTGGATGTGACACTTGTATTGAAATAAGTTAACATACAACCTCATTATTCTTTCAAAACAACCTTAATATTTGAGTATGAATTGAGCGCAAAACATGTTAACAATCCAGGTTTTGATGTGAACTAGTATTTTACTTAGGCTTCGACTTTGCAATTCTACCCATGTTGTTAGAAACCTTATTATTCAACCAAGCATCGTGTGACCCTAATATTTTATCACAATTTCTGCGAATCAGCCTAAATGATTCAAACTGAATAATTACAAAATTTAAAAAAATGGTAAGAACCTATTCCTGGGATTGTGTGTTAATTCCATGCGCCTCTGCAAAAAATGTTAAGAATGATGACATTTGCTAACCAGTAAAGTGATTTTTAGGACAAATAATAAAGCATTATTGTATTCAACAAACCATTAAATTTGTAAGTGTCTTACACATGAAGAAAATATAATAGCTAAAACTATCACCATGATCAGCTAAAGGGTTTATTAGTCATCCAACAATAAGAATAGCATTCCACCAAGGTTTGAATGCAAGCTTGCTATTTCAGCAGGATTTGGAAGCAACTCGACTATCTACCAAGATTTGGCTGTGACGCTTGTATTGTAGCAAGTTATCATGAAACCTTGTTATTCTTTCAATATTCAAAGCAACCTTGATATTTTAGCAGGAATTGAGTGCAAAAGACAATTACAATTAGCGTTTTGGTGCAACCTAGTATTCTACTTAGCTTTGAAGCGACCTCACAATTATAACCAAGTTGGAAGAAACCTTATAATTCAATCAGGCGTTGTGCCCAATTTATGCAAATCAACCTACATGGTCCTCTAAATGAATAAATTAAAAAAACATAAAACTGGTAAGATCCAACTCATGGGATCGCATGGGCGGATCCCCCTCAAAAATTTTTTTTTTTTAATTTTAGTGAGATATTTTGAAATATTTTGGGTATTTTGCCCCCTCTCAAAAAAAATTTTTGCCCTCATTTAATCAATCCTAAGCATTTTTGCCCATCCCCCACAAAAAAAATTTTTTTTGCCCACCCTAAAAAAAGAAGCTGGATCCGCCCCTGTGGGATCGTGTGTTGATTCCATGTGCCATGCAAAAAATATTGAGAATATCGACATTTGCTAACCAGTAAGTGATTTTAGGATAAATATTGAAGCATTTTTGCATTCCATCTAATCATTAAATTTGTAAGTATACTTCACATGAAGAAACTTAATAATAGTTAAAAGTAGGGATAAAATTATACCAAGATATCCTTACATGATGTCTCCAGATGCGAAAACAAAGTGCTCAAATTTGGGAAATAATTCAGAAATTTAGAACGCATCTAAACAGAAACAGAAAGCAATACCATAAATCAATGATTTTTTAACAAAATATTTAAATATGTTCTAATTTTGAGGTTTTTACCGATAACTTTTTTAATTATTTTATCTTTTTCTTTTTGACATAAGGGATAAACTACATGAAGCTATTTACTATTTTCCAAACCTGAAGGTAATCATCTAAATCGTTACTCTATCAATACCCTAGTAGTTTCCAACTTCATTTCTTCATAGTCATCGGCATCATAAATGTAAATAAGCACGTACCCCAGTTTTTTTTTAAAAAAAGATGAACTTATTTATACAATACTGACAAATATGGAGCGAAAAGTGTGAAAAAATAAATACTCACCATCATCTTCCAGGCAATGTAGCCAACCGCCCCGCCTCTTCCATTTTCTCCGCCATCCTTAGACCCAAAAACCCCAACTACCCCTCTTCCCATGACATTCTTCACAAACACCACGGCCTCCTCCTTCTTCCCCCTGTCCCAGTACAAAGACACAACCTTTTCCAGCATGCTGAACCCAGGCTCCAATCCAACGCAATCCATTTCGTTTAATAGACCCACCACATCGTCCACCTCATGCTCTCCAAAAATAATACGTTGGATCCACCCGCAGGCTATCGATACCATCAACTCCATCGTCTCCCCATCAACGCGGTTCTCTCTCCGCAACCAGTCGAAAACCTCGAGTGCACAGTACGAGTCCCTCCCCTCCTGTGCGAAGTAGACAAGCACCAGCTGAAGCTCCCGGGCAGAGAGCCGGTCCGTCATTTCCGCGAGGACGTCCGAAGGGTCGCGCACCATCCGCTCAAGTTCCTCGATCGCCTCAAGAAAGCTTTCCCCCACCAAACCTTCCTCGTCGCTCGTCAACAGTCGACTAAACCGGTCGGATGCCAGCGGTTTCCTCCGGAGGGGCCGAACAGAGAAGCACTGATTTCGGTTGAATCTAGGGTTTCTAAGGTTATTACGATTAAGGAGATCAGATAAGGATTTGGGATGAAGAAGTGGCCTATAGTGAGAGGAGGGGAGCCGGACGGAGTATCCGCCGGCGGGCGAACGGAGAGCCATTAGCGAGCGCGCTTGCTGGGAATATCGAAGCTCTAAATTCTAATCTACCATTTCGATAGGGACAAGATCAGTGTTTTGAGAGAAGTGAGTGAGGTAGAGCACCGCGACGCTGGAGAGCCATTTAGCTCCTTTCAAGTCAATTTTTTAGTCGGTGGAGTTCTCTGCTCCTTGTCTTCGTTCTTGAGCGAGAGAAACGGAAACGTATAAAGTAATGGGAGACGGAAAAAATATTAGGTGTGGACATCTGCTTAGGAACTTTTATTTGGTCCGGTGAACGTACGTAGATGAACGTCCGGTCGGCACTAAATTACCGTTAAAAAATTCGGTATTTGCTCGGTACAACTAGGTATTATTTGATAATAATGATGAATACCGCTCTTTGAAGACCAATACCGAGTTATACCGAGCTAATCAATACCGAGTTATACCGAGCAATACCGAGTTGTACCGAGTTTTTTCTAGGAAAAACTCGGTACAACTTTCGTATAACTCGGTATTGCTCGGTATAGCGCGGTATAATTCGGTATTGGGTCTTCACGTGATGGTATTCCTCGTTATTGTCTGGTATTGCTCGGTATTTGCTCGGTATTTCTCGTTTTTTGGCGCGATTTGGCCTCTGATCGGACGTTCCTCTACGTCCTGTCGGAGGACGTAATAAATAGGGTTTCAATCTTTGTCTGTTGACTACAAAAATTTGAAAAGTTTTATGATCATTTTTACAACAGTGAATGGTAGTGATCACTTGGACTTCAATTTTCCTGAAAGTAATTTCATTTTAGAATTGCATAGAAAAAACTTTTTATCCACGCTCAAATTCATTCATAATAAGCGTATGATCATGCCACATCTTTATTAGGAGACATTCTAAGATGATGGATGGATTCAATCAAGCCAGGAAGGTAGCTGAGGTGGAAGGCCTCCTAGAACGTTCCTGAGTTTAATCCAAGTGCCAACTGGGCTTATAAAGGAAGATCGGGTTATGCAACGTATGTGTATTTAAGTTCTTTGGGTGACATTGAGCTAGCTTAAAGTGTTGACTCAGACCAACTTAAGTGCTGGGCTGACCAAGATAGATGTAATAGACCATGAGAAATACAATGACAATGTTTGTCACAACCCAACCTGACTTGGACCGGTTCTATAATGTTTAGCTGTGATAGACAAATCCCAAGATCAAGTTTTGAAAATTTTTTTTTTTCTAGATTTTTTTGCCAATATTCAATGGAATAAACTAAAGATTACTGAGCAACTAAAATATCCAAATATTCTTTTATCAAATATTTTGTTGAATCTTTAAAAGCAATTAAATGCAATTTAAATAAATCACAAAACTGGAAAATATAATAAATGTATAATGGCTATTCTCAAATTTAAATAATAGTACGGAATAAATAAATAAATTGAAATTCATATCATAGAGCAGTTTATATCATATTTTTCAGACCTAGGCATAATCTCATAGTATTATAACCCCTTATGACTCCCTTTTCATTTATGCTTATAGCACTAGAATATATCACATATTTCTATCTCAAACAGAATCTCAAAGGTTTCTGGCCCTTTATAGATCCCAATAATTCTCTGACATAAACATAATCTTAGAGAATTCTAGCCCATTATGGCTCTCAATAGATATAACTTAATCAATCACATATGCACATATATCATCACATCATAATAATTAAAGAATTATTGTGCATGTATCAAAATTTCACACTGTTGTATAATAATAGACAACAGAAAATCTAACTAGACAAAAATGCACAATTTCAAAAAATAACCAAATTATCAATCATCGTGTAAAACGATGTTTTAAGACTTTATTGTACTACAACTATTTTTCAGCATTCAGATAATTTTCTATTAAATAAAAATCCTGCAAATTTCAAAACTCCCATTGTAAAATTTCTAAAAAATATTTAAATTGTACATAATTGTAATCTCTATAACATATTAAAAGTTACGCGATAAAAGTTTTACCTGTGCAAAGTTATCATCGTTTTTAACTAACATATACAAAATTTTAATCGAAATATTCACTAAAAAGTATACATTTTTAAAAATTGAGATAGACATAATGTGTTATATCTTAAGAAGAACAAATTTTTCAACTAGGCCGACAGATAAAAATAGATCGAAGTCGCCCAAAATTAGAGTTTTCTCTTTCTCACTCTTCCTTTTTTTCTCTAAATCCCTTAGCCGTTCTCTGTTACGTGTTTTGCTAATTATTATCTACTTTAGGTTAATAAAAAAATCTTGAAAGTTTAAGGCTTTCATAATGTTTGTTTGGATTGGTTTAGTTTATGCTTGGATTTGGCTCAATGCTTGGCTATTTTGACCACTTGGGTCAAACCAAGTGGCTGACCCAAGTGAGCCTAAGGCTTGGGCCACCTAAGGCTGGATCCTATGGATTCTATGAACAACCATATAGGTTTGTATGAACTTAATCAAGCTTTGGTCAATGAATATGCAAAAGATTTTAAAGTGTGCAAGCTTGATCAACTTTGGTTGACTTGGTCAGCCATGTTGACCCAAAGGTTGGGATTAGATCCATTACATTCCAAATAAAGTTTTGAGTTTATTAGTGGTGATTCCAAGGCTTGGCATGGTCTATATGCATGAAATACATGTTAAAATCCTTGAGGGTACATTTGGTCAACCTAGGTTGACTTGGTCAATTAGGTTAACCAATGGGCTAGAGTTAGGTTCAAACCATTCCAAGTGATGTATTGAACACGTTGGAGAAGGTTCCATGCAATGGCAAAGCTCAAATGCATCAGATGTACTTTTAGGATTTAATGGTTTCATATGGTCAATCTAGGTTGACTTAGTTAACCAAGGTTAATCATAAATTGGGTTTTAGTTTAATGCATGCCAAATGATATTTTGAACATATTTGTGAAAGGTTTCATGACCTAATTTGATTGAGCCATGTTTAAGTTTTAAGAAAATTCAATTTCCAAAGTTTTAGTGTTTTATGGTCAATCATGGTCAACCAAGGTTCAATGTTTTCTCAATGCATTACCTTTAGGTCAAATGATGATGCTCAATGGAATTGGTGAAGCTTATAAGGTCAAATTTCACAATATGGTATGTTCAGTGGCATAAGCTATAAATATTTGAAGGTTTTATAGTTTATGAAAATGCTTTCATTTTGTGGAGTTAAAGGTCTTGAAATGCCTTCAAATTTATGCAGTTGACCCTAGGGATATGCCTAATCAATATGCAAGTGATAGATTAGGAATCCAATATCATTTGATTTAGTTTTAAAGTAACCAAAATTTCTCCAAAAATATGTTATGGATCAAGGAGTTTTGGGTTTGGATTTGACACTAAATTTTGGAGTTTTGAGTTTACAATGATTTTAGTCACTGGATTGGGTTTCAATTTGATTCAAACAATGGCTTGGGAAGATTTAGGGTTTTTAAATATTTAAATTATTGGAAATCATGAAGGATTATTAATAATTAAATGAGTGATCAGCTAATTATCATTGGCAATCAATTGATAGATTTAGGGCATGATTTTGATTTAGGTTTTGAATTGATTAATGAAGATTAGCGATTGAGTACATTTTAGTTTTATAATTATCATATCACTGAAAATCGTTTGGTGATTGTCAAGTGATAGATCAAATGATCAAATGACAGTCAAGTGTGATTGTCAAGTGATGATTTATGTATGTCAATGATCAAGGTACTATGATAATGCACAGTATGGAGTTTGATTTAGAGTTTGAAATATAATTTAATGATTGATGTATGGAGATTGAATTTTGATTTAGATAATTAACCTCATCTAAAAAGGAGATAAATAATCACATCTTTTAACATATTCATTTACATCCTTAAATATGATAAGACAATAAAATTTATATTGAAGGATCTTAAAAGTAGTTCTAAACCCTCCAAAATGTCCTCCAAATAGGGAGTCGTGACATTCCTAATAATTGGTTAAATCTCATTTTTAGGGACACTTAGCCGAATAATTTGATCATTATATTCCTAAATAAGTAAGGCTCATCCCAAAAATAGAATATGATATCATAAACAAATTTATGTCTTTGGGTAAAAGACATTACTATAAATAACACCACCAATAATATCGTTTATAATATCAATATATGAAGGTGTACCATATGAATGCAAAGCAAATAAATGCTCTTCTGGAATGAATTCATTAATGTCGCACTTATTACATTCAGGGTCTTCCAACTCTAACCAAGATAAATAATTAGCCACCTAGTTTTTAGTTCCCTTCTTGTCTAAAATTTCTACATCAAATTCTTGAAACAAAAGAATCCATATTTATAACTCCTAATGCCCAACACCATAATGGAATGTGTATATAACACCAGAATAAAGTGTGCATATAGCACCATAATACATTTAGCACCATAAAAGAACTTCCTCCACACACACCGGATTTCCTTAGAATCACATATTTCAATCAATAAAGATATAATTCATTGCATTGCAATAAAAGAAATATAAAAAAAATCATTTCATAATTTAACATAATGTTTTAATGGTAGATAATGAAATACACTATTGAGAAGAAAATATGCTTTTTTTTAAATATAACCAAATTACCATAGATTGTTCATAATATTATTTCAAAGCTTTAATTTACTAGAACATTATGTTTGAGAAGCAAAATTATTTTTTAATTTTCCAAAAACCTTACATTTTCCAAGTTAAGCAATGAAAATTTCTGAGAAAAATAACTAAATGTTTAGAACTGTTGTATCTATAATATATTTATTTTTTATTTTTTATTTTTTATTTTTTTTATCAATGTTTGGATGATGATGATGGCAAAAATTAAAGATTTGGTTTCAAAACTACCTGAGCTAACTCTTTCACTTGATTCAAATAGTTGTATCTATAATATATAATAAGTTATGTAGTAAAAGTTTAGGTGTTAAATTATCCACACTTTCGCTAGCAAAATTATAAATGAAATAAAAAAAATTATTGGTATTTCATTGTTTTTTTTTAACTAAGATAGGCAAAGTGTAACCAATCTTGATCTAGATAATTTTCCGGAACTAGGCCACCAGCTAATAATGAATCAGAGTCGGCCAAAATTGGCTTTCTCTCTCTAGGATTCTTCCTCCTTCTCCTCCTCTCTCTCTTTAGCTGACTGCTTCTTAGAGAAGAAATGAGAATGAT